GTTACGACTCCATTGAAATTGAGGTCAGTGCATCGCCGTTAGGTGCCAAAGTTACTATAACATCGTTGAAGAAAGCCAGTTTGCAGACTACAGTTCGTTTTACCGTTGAGGAATTTCATTAAGGCCCGATTGGAAGTGATTTTTTACCCCATTTAGGGGTTATTTTCTTTACTGTTATTTCACTATTTCAGCCGTAATTTTTGACTTCTTTTCTCACAAGTGGCCTCCACTTTTCTCTTAACAGTCAAAAAATCAATTATCAAAATCACTATCGAATTGGACGTAAAACTTGCATTTGCAAGATAGTGGAGATGAGGTCCCACTTTTTCTTCTTCTTCTTCTTTATTTTGGGGATTCTCCAATTACCATGCAAGGTAGGGTTGTAAGCAAAAATCGTAAAATCGAACTGAAATCGCATTTTAGAAATCGTTAGTTTGGTGCCACGTGGACCCGATCAACGAAATGGTTTTGAATCAAACCAAACCGGTTAAAATGGTTTGGTTTAGGTTTGAAAATTTTGATTGCGATTTAAAACCAAACCGGACCGGCAAAAAATATTTAAAATAAAAAAATAATTTTTTTTAAAAATTCATTCAAATATATAAAATTCAATAGTTTTGTCATTTGTGGGTATTTTTGTTAATTTCTAATTTTCTAATACATATATATTATTATTACTTAATAATTCTAATTTATATATAATAATCTCAAAACTAACATAATCTATTAGGGTTGGGCAAATCTCCCGAATCGATCCCGATGGTTCTTGTCAAATTAAATACCCGAACGGGTATCTAAATTGAGAACTGATGGGTACGGTTCGATTTTCGGTTCTAGACCAAAAATCGAATAAGAACCAAATCTTTTTAATTTTTTTTTATATTGAATAAATCAAATTATTTTAATTTTAATTTTTTTAAACAAATTAACAATTTCTAAATCTAAAATTTTTGCCCAATAATTTGTTTCATTTCTAATTTTTGGCCCAATTACCCATTTTATTGTTTCATTTCTTAGCCCAACAAAGATCCAACCCACTAAATAATCCTAAACACCTACACTAAAGTGCATAACGCTGTCTCGACTCTCGCACTCACTCTCGTAGTCTCGCTGACATTCCAAAACCTATACAATCGCCGGTCGACAGTATGACCTTCGATCGAAACTCGGACTTTCGCCAACCGAAACTTTAACAGTAGCAATCATTTGAACAAGGTAATCTACTAGTCTCTGACATTCCAAAACCATTGAATGTGTCATTAGTTGTATTTATATTATGTTGTTATAAATGTTAAAAAATTTAATTATAGTACAGAACCGAACTCGAACGGTTCCATAACTATATTTGGACCCGACGATTCCATTTACTAGATACCCGAAAATTGGCAATATTCTTACAAATTTGGCAAATAGCCAATTGTACCTATTGTGGTTTGGAGAAATTATTAGGGCTCTTTCAAGTTGTTAACTTTGATGTAAGTTTCTAAAAAAATTAACCTTTTCGATCATGTTACCATATAAGATGTCCCTTGTTATGTTCTTGTTCCAAGATGATGAACATATTACTTGAATATTTTAATGAATAACTAAATTTCATGGAATAAAATGCAACACAACAAATCTTCAAAATTCAAACAAAAAGTGTTTTCTAGCTTTTAATTTTGAGAAATAATTTTTGAAAATGACAAATCAAACACATTTTTAATAATCTTAAAGTAGACCCTCGAAACATAAAATTGAAAGTGAACTCAAAATCGAAATAGAAACCAAACAGTTACTTTATTTTTGAGGATTGGGACTGTTTTGCTTCGATAGAAGACACACGATTGGAAAAAGGTTATCCTCCATGGGTATAATCAATGAATGCTCATTAAATTTTAATTGAATTATTTACTTACCAAAAAATTAAAAGGTTTTTCAAACTCACTTATGAATCTATCTCCATATTTCCCATTCAGCACCGCTTAAGAATCCCTCAACAATTCTTAGACCAAAAAATATAAATATAAATAATTAAATATAAATATAAATAAATAAAAAAGAGAGACCACGTGGTTTAAAGAAATCATTGTTTGCAATAGACGAAGTTAAATTATCTCACATCAAATAAAGTGCTCTACCCAAAAAACACAACTTTGATTATTTACCCAAACATGACCTTGAAAAGGAGAAACACAACTTATTAAAACCCCAAAATCAAAATCAATTCATCCCAAATTTTTATTAACA